GTCGGATCCCATAGACTGGCATGACAAAATCACTGGGCTCAAGGGTGATGGTGATCCACTCGACCTCATAGAGATTTCGGGTACGACTCTTCTGTGGTCTTTGTCGCTTGAACATAGCCTCAGGTAAGCATTTCAGTCCGGGTGAGGTAGCTCAAGTACAAGTGCTCGGAGCCGTGTGCTTGATTGACGAGGTACGTTGCATTCCGAATACTTTCGCTTCGTGCATTTTTTGCGACAGGGAGCAGCGGATTGGAAACTAATCGGGACAGCGTGCTGCAAAGCTCTCACAGATGAGGAAGTAGCACGAGAAATGGAGAAGGTCAAGGCATGGATGGATGGCTATAAGGCGCTATTCGCTAAGGAACCCACACGTAAGGAAATGGTAGAGTTCAGTGACCGAGTATTGGACATGCTTCAGAGTGGTATCTCAACGGCATGATTTTCGATCGCACAATAGCGTTAGACTTGATCGACCAGCAGAACAAGGTGTGGTTAAAGAAGAAGGGCTTGAAGGCCAGTAAAGCAACATCGAAGAATTACAAAGTCGTGACGAAATAATTGTGTTTCTACCGAAAAAAGAGGTAGTTTAGTTCTCTGGAGTCAATGTTGACAAGTATCATCAGTCGAATGTATGTTATTCTCCATGCTGTGCACAGCTCAGAACTAATTACTCAATGTTGGTCTGATCACACAGTGCAACATTCCAGTGCAACATTCCTCATTATCAACCAACGTTACTGTCCATATAGAGTGTGTTACTATCGTGTTCGAGGAAGGTTACTCCCATGGGATAAATGACCAACGAGCCACTAATGAATTTTTGTGGTTTCAAGCACTCTGAGAGTAGAATGATGGCGCCGAAGACAATGTTCTCATTGAACCTCATCGACCATATCCCGTGAAACTCGGCGGACTTGGCGAAGAAACCCACCGTCAACTTGCCCAACACATTTTGTATGTTCATAGAAATGAGTTCAATACTTGGAGGAGCATTTGAGCTCCAACGACAACGCCAGGAGCAAACTACTCATGTTCGCTTCTCTTGGGTTGTAAAGTATTATAATGTTGATAATTGACCGGTTGTAATAAGTTGGAATATCGAAGGAATTGTTCAAGTACCATAAACAAGACTATGACACTTATGGACGGAAATGATAACAAGTCAAGATACCTTACATAATCGATAAGACTCTGACCACAGAAGGCAGCCGATCCGTGACAACCTATTTTTAGGACTTTATAGCAAGCTCATCCAACCACGCGAGATGACTTGCAAAAAAAACTATTCTTCACAGCGAACAGCATCGAATCCTCACACGGCTCGGAACTTAGCCAACAGTTTCCTCCAATACGAGCCAGAGAACCCGACACCAAAGATGATATGTTGAACCATGATGTAAAAACTAGAATTATCGTCATA